TTATTTTCCTCTTTTTTATTTAATTAATCAATATTTCCACACAAAGAATTAAGACTTCATCACTCACTTCTCTCAAACTAAACAACCAAAAAAAAGAGAGATTATTTTCTCATATTAGTTTCTCTTCTATTTTCAAGCATTTTTTTAGTTGTCTTGCTGCCTGTTACTAACTACCAGCAGTTTTTTTTATTGTATTTCAAATGTGTTTTTAGGAAAATTAAAATATTTTTATTTATTTTTTTACTTCAAATTAATTATTCTTTTTATGTTCTGAGATAATTTTTATATGCTGATATTAAAAAATAAATTTTAGAATATTAAAAAATATTATTTTAATATACTTTTGAATAGTAAATACTTCAAAATTCAACCATTATCACATTAGGGAATTGAAATAGTCTATTATTTGTGCCGTGGTAATCAATCAAATTAATCTGCCACCGTGATGCGATAAGTGTTAAGTTAGATTTCATCCCCTTTATTACACTAACAATAGTTTATGTATTTATATTTCTATTTGATATGATTTTCTTCAATTGATTTAAGATTTTTTTACTAAAAAATCATAAATATATTTAATCGGAAATGACTTGTAACTCATATCAAAATTTTGTTATAAAATTGATTCAAAATATTTATGTTATTAAAAATTAAAAAAATTTACCATTTCAAAAAAAAATTGGAGTCATTTTTATCAAATGTACTAATAACTTGATATATAAAAAACAATTAATTTAAGAATGTTGTAAAAAAGAAAATGGGTGGGCTAAAGTAGCTTTCTCACCACAGCCTTTTATAGCTAATTCCAACCTATTTTTGTAATAAATTATTTATGAAAAATAAATTACAAATTATAATTTAAAATCGAAATTCACTTTTTTATAAGCAATACCCAAATTTAAATATATCAACTTGTAAAAAAAAGGGTTACGTTTCCGACATTGTTTGTCCATGCTATGCTCGCTTTTTGTAAAATTTGAATTTTGTTATTTTAAATTAATTTTTTTATATTTAATGTTAAAAATAATTTTAAAAATAAAAAAAATATTTTTTTAAAAAATAAAATATTCTAAGATGTTTGCTCTTTAAGTTAAGATTGTCCAAAATTCCAAATTCACGGACACATTCTTCTTCTTCTTCTGAATATATATATGTATATATTAGATGAAAACATTTTAGTTTTGTAAATGCATTATTTAAATTAAATGGGATGAACTTTTTGCGACCTAATCAGAATTATACTTAGTTTTCAAGTGAAAGCCCATCCATAAATACTCTAAAAATTAAGATAAAAGAGAGAGAGAGAGAGAGAGAGAGAGAGAGAGAGAGAGAGAGAGAGAGAGAGAGAGAGAGAGAGAGAGAGAGAGAGAGAGAGAGAGAGAGAGAGAGAGAGAGAGAGAGAGAGAGAGAGAGAGAGAGAGAGAGAGAGAGAGAATAGTCTAAGAGTAAATTTACGAAGAAACCGGCATTATTTTAATTATTAATAGCCTAGTAAATTTGGTGCAAGTTCCATGTCAAAGCCCAGTGGAGTGTTATTATAAAACAAAGAGGTGATGTTGAAACCAGTAACTAGCCACTTGCAAGAAAATGTCCGAGAAACCCAGGCAAGCATCAAAAGCCATGGAAGAAACCACCAGGAAGAAGAAAGTGGCCGCAGCTGGCTGCTTCATCTCTGTTTATGTCTCTCTCTCTCTTTCTGCTCCCACCACATCCTATTAGACGACAACACTAATCTAAAATACCCACCTGGTACATTGAAAATGGTCAAAATCCGAATTCTGCAAGTGAACCCACTTGGAATTTATTAAAGATGAATAAAAAATAAAAAATAAAAAATAAAAATAAAAACACTTTATTCACATTCCAAACACCATAAATACATGGTTATAAATAACCTGATTTTAATCATGTGATTTTTCTATAATATTTACATCACTTCAAGATTAAAAATAAAGATTGCAAGAAACCAAAAAAAATAAAATTGTTATAACTAAACTATGCGATAAGTAAATACTAAAAATTCCATACATCTCATGACTGAAAATAACATATGGTTAGGAAAAACTTGATCATGAGATCTACTAAGGAGTTATATTTAAAAAAATCCAAAATATTAATATTATCACATCTACTAAATAAACAGTATAATTAAGAATAAGATACTAAAAGTCTATTTGTTGGTTTGTTTTTATATTTTAAAAATATTTTAAAAGAATTAAAAATTTTATTTCAGATTAAATTTTTAATGTTTTATATAAAAATTAAATTTTTAAAAATAAAAAATATATTATTTCAATATATATAAAAGGAAGCAACGGATAAAGGCGGTGGATTCATGATGGCTGGCTTTGTTTATAAATAATGGCATTTATCAAAATGAACATTCATTAATAAATAAAATAATAATGAAAGCGGCCTCATTTGGACCAAGTCAGTCAAACTCCTGACGCGTTGAATCTTTGAACTTTTATCACACTGCACACACCGCAGCACTGAACCCTTCTCGCTTTCCAAGCTACTACCTTCTCCTCCACCCCCCACCTTCTTCCCATATATTTACATACCACACCTTCTCCCTCTCACTCTCTTCATATCACTCTCTTCATAACCAGCAGAATTAATATATATACCTCACCTTCTCCCTCTCACTCTCTTCATAACCAGCAGAACAGCAGAGAAGAAGAAAGAAGATATAACTTAGAGTCCTCCTCTCTCTCTTTTTCTCTCTTTCAAGCAATTAAAAAAAAATAGAAATGGAAGAAAGCAAGGAGATTGTAATTCGTGAAGTGTGGTCGTGGAATTTGGAGTCGGAATTCGAGCTGATTCGTGATTTAATCGATGAGTTTCCGTTCATCTCCATGGATACGGAATTTCCTGGGGTTGTTTTCCGACCACCAGTAGACCCCACGAACAACAGGAATTATTTCCGACAACTCAAGCCGTCGGATCATTATAAGATCCTTAAATCCAACGTTGATGCTTTGAATCTTATCCAGGTGGGCCTCACGTTGTCCGATGCGAAGGGAAACTTGCCTGATCTGGGAACCGAAAACCGGTTCATCTGGGAGTTCAACTTCAGGGATTTTGATGTGGAGCGTGACTCGCATGCTCCTGACTCGGTTGAGCTGCTGAGGCGACAA